TATATATATATATAGGCCTGTACATGCATGCATGCATGCGTGCATGCATGCATGCATATATATAGGCTTGCATGCGTTTTTTGTACATGGGCGCATGCTCTGCACGCTTATTCAGGATTAGATGAATAAACGCATGCATGCATGCTGCCTCTGTTTATCTACAGTTGTATGTCTTTATCTGCTAACTGAGGGAGACAATAAATGCAATTTCGTCTTCTTTCTGTAAAGGACCCACTAAAGCAGCTGTTGCTGCAGATTATTCACCTCATTAGACAGCACTCTGCTACGGAGCCGGCCACAACCAGCTAGCCAGAGCTAGCTAGCGATAGCCACAGCTAGCTAGTCACAACTATTTTTCCACGGCTAGCTAGTCACAGCTAGCTAGCCACAGCTAGCTAGCCACAGCTAGCTGGATCCGCAGCTATCTTCGCTGGCCCTATCCAGATGGAGCTAGCGGTGGCTAGCTGCAGCTGGGTAGCAGGCGGCAGACCTCTTCAGGCCTGCCCACTAGGGCGGCGCAGCAGGACGGAGGAAGATGAATAATTGGTGTACTACTACTTCTTCTAGGAAGCTTCTTTTAGCTGCTAGAGTGGCTGTACTGTGTAGAGTTGCAAGTTGTGAGCAGCCTCAAGCAAGACGCAGCCCCTTGTGTTTTTGTTTGTACGCAATACTCTACTTGCACTGAATGGATGAATACGCGGTGTATAGCTAGGATGAGTGCGGAAGTCTGCCTCTGTATATTGCAGAGGACACTGGGTGCATTTGATTGATTCATCTTCATTCTGTTGAAAGCAAAAAGAAGTAAAAGAAGACGTTTCGTGGTTCGGTCTGTCCAGTGCAGAACGTAGTTTGTCGTAGGCCTGTGATGAATATATCATTTTCTCTGGAATTTCTCTTGATTCATTCGTCAAAATACATGAAATTAAATGTAAAAAATGAATCAATAAACTCACTTTACTAACGGTTTCCCTCAGGATCGGCGCTTGCAGCTCCCCGAGCGGTACGGTATCTTTAAGATTGAATTCCAGCTAAAGAAATACGTGGTTTTGATGAATGCTTTCCTAGAGGAAAGCATTCACGTTTAGTGATGCCTGTTCTGGTGTACTGACAGCATTCTTCTTATAACATTTGATTCTGAGACTTCTGGTAAGATTCATAAACATAAAGTTTAACCTGTGAAAGCGAATCCATACTGAAACCTCAACCTGCACGTACACGCGATTCCAGCGGGAGAAGATTGAGTGTGTAGTGGAGCATAGGACAAGGAAATGTCTACAGTTATTTAGTTTTTTCATGGGAATTGAATCCATATTTTCAATTCCATTTCTTTTGCGATCTTCGGGGCCTCAGGAAAGCCCTCAGCTGTAGCTTTCCCTAGTAGTTCGCCAGGCATGCAGACTCGGCACCAGTTGGCTTTAGAAAGTTGAAGAGCGATCCTTGGGTGTCCCTGTTGAATCGTGGGTTTTCCCTTTCACGTTTGAATTGGTATTTTTGAATTTTTAAGAACTTAGGAAGAACAGAGGCAGGACCTTTAGCCAGCAGCCGCAACTTCTCTCGGCTAGCTCGACGATCTACCTGTCGTTCCTGTACTGAGTACGAGTTGGGGTGTCCTGGGGTCGTGCGGAGTTCTTTAAGAAGAACAGCAAGACACGCAAGCAGAAAGGCTTGTGGAGGCCCTGCGAGTTTTGATTTAACTCCTTCCAGCTCCTGTGTCCCTAGCAGCACCTCAGGAACGCCGGCATCAGAAGGCGCGGCCAGGAGCAGCGCAGCAGCAGCAGCAAATGCAGCCGCAACCGAGTTGCCCGTTTGTTTCAACGATATAGCCTTGATGAAACAAAAGTATAGGAGATTAAGGCAGCCTCACTGCTGAGGCTAGAAGGAGCTGCAACTGCAGCTAAACGCAGCAGTTGTGCAGACAGCTCGCAATCGATTCAATAACCAAGGGCCAGACACCCCTTAAACCCCCTTTCACCCTTTTCCTTTTCTCCAGAGGGGAGCATGCGGCTTCTACAGAGGCAGCATCCCGCCTCTGCGTACAACACACGACTGCAAAGCCACTACCTCAAGCAGCAGCAGCCGCAGCAGCCGCAGCAGCAGCAGCAGCAGCAGCAGCAGCCGCAGCAGCAGCAGCAGAGAGAGCAGCTATGCAGCAGTTGGGCATATCGGAGAAGGAAGGGGACGGATCAATTTTGCTGCCGGATGATCTGCTGAGTCCTCGGGTTAATTGGGGTGTCTCTACACCCTCTACATCCTTTGCTAGCGAGCCCTCGCCCTCTAATACAAATGCCCTGCTGCCAGCCCCCTCAAGACTTGCAAGTTCTTTGGGGGTTCCTCTCGGTGCAGCAACAGCTTCTGTTGCAGGAGACCCAGACGCGCAGCCGCCGTCTGCTCCGCACTCTCCAGAAACACACCTCAACTCAGTAAGTTGTTGCTGTTGTTGCTGTTGCTGCTGCTGCTGTTGCTGTTGCTGCTTTGGTTGCAGATGTAGGTGCTTCGGTAGCAGCTCCTGAGCGTGTTTGTGGGTGTTTCGTAACACCGTCGGTCTGGTGCTGCTATTGATGCTTTTGCTGCTGCTGCTGCTGCTGCTGCTGCTGCTGGTAATTTTGCTGCTGCTGCTGTTGTTGTTTCTGCAGCTGCAAGATGGATGCATGGGTGCTCCAGAGGAGGGCTCAGGAGGTTGTCTAGGCTCTGATTTATCGATGCTTTCTGCTGCTGCTGCTGCTGCTTCACGCAACAGCAGCGGGTCCCTAGGCCATCCTTTACCCGATTGTTCAGAGGAGGCAGACAGCTTAGAGACCCTCACAGGAGGTTGGGTGTCGCAGAGCCTTGATCGCCCCTGCTCTTCCACTTCTACCTCAGCAGCAGCAGCAGCAGCTGCTGCTGCTGCTGCTGCTGCTGTGGAGGCGGGTGATGTGTTGATCGGTCGCAACACCTTCTTGCAGCAGAAAGATATCTGCCGCATGTCTATAGAATGCTTAGGCTGTATAAAGCCGTCTTGGAGAGACTCACCTTTAGGGGGGGTTCAGGGTCTTGCTTATTACCGTCATATCCGTTTTGTTGCTGCTGCTGCTTCTTTTGAAGAGCTGCACCCCTACTTAGACGCATTAGAGCCGCTGTTTGCTGCTGCAGGCAGCAGCATCAGCACCTGTCCTGCCCTCAAGGTGGCGGTAGAAGATGTGCTAGCCAAGTGCATGCTGCAGCAGCAGCAGCAGCAACAGCAACAGCAACTCCTGCTGCACCACCACGAAGAAGAAGAAGACCCTGAGGCGGATCATGCAGCTGCTTCTTCCCCAGCGGCAGCAGCAGCAGCAGCAGCAACAGCAGCGGCAGCAGGGGGGAGCGCAGCTATCATCGATCAGGTTTGTCTTAAGCTTGATGATTTACACTTCTTTCTTTCTTTCAGGCTCCGCTATACTCTGTCTCCAGACCCTCCGGTTTCTCACTTGGTTCTTGACGATCCTCAGCCTGCGCCTAAGAGGGATCCCGTCCCTCCTGCTGCTCCTGCTGCTGTTGCTGCTGCTCCTGCTGCTGTTGCTGCTGCTCCTGCTGCTGCAGCAGCTGCTGCGGCTCACATGGCAGGCACCCACAGCAGCACCACCAGGAGGCAAGTGCAGCAGAAGAGGAAGCTCCACAGCGGGCAACACCTCGAAGATGAACCCTGCACACCCCCTCTTGCAGCTTTAACAGCGCCAGCAGCAGCAGCAGCAGTAGACTCGGGGATGGACACGTTGGGTACGCGGTGCAGCAGCAGCAGCAGCAGCAGCAGCAGTAGGCGCGTCTCATTAAACTCTCCTCCTGTTGGGTGGGGGTTACCTGCAGCAGCAGCAGTAGCAGCAGCACCAACAGCAGCAGCAGGTGATTGGCGCAGCAGTGCAAAGGGAGGAGGCGGCGGCTCTTCTCCTTTTGAAGACGGCCTTGCAGCACCAGGCTCCCCACAGGGTGAGTTTGCTGCTGCACTTGCTGCTGCTCGCATTGCTGCTGTTGTGTTTGCTGCTGCTGAAACGCCCCTACTACTTTTCTGTGTGATGCGTGTGCAGCAGCAGCAACAACACCAGCACCAGCAGCAGCAGAAACTGCTGTTCCGCCTGTATGGCCTTTAGAAGGGACTCCGCCTCCTTCTGCTGCTGCTGCTGCTGCTGCTTTTTTGCCTCCTGTCTCTGGATTCTGCGGTGCTGCTGCTGTCAAGGGTCAGCCGCCAACAGCAGCAGAAGAGGAGCCTGCAGCAGCACGTCTTGCTGCTGAGGAGGCTCCTGTTGCTCCTCTTGCTGCTCCTTTCTCGATGCAGCTGCCCTGCTCACAGCAGCAGCAGCAGCAGCAGCAGGGTCCTATGTTTACCCAAGCGCCTACAGAGAGCGCCAGCTGCATTTCTTATGGAGACGAACTGCTGCAGCCCCACCGACATTTAAGCCCTTTGCTGCCTTTCCAGGGTGGCGAGGAAGGGTTTGCTGCTGCAGCTGCCGACCAGCAGCAGCAGCAGCAGCAGCAGCCACAGCAACAGCAGCAACAGGAGCAACCGCAGCAACAAAAGCAGCAGCAACAACAGCAGAAGCAGAAGCACCAGAAGCAGCAGCAGCGCCAGTCGACCCCAAAATCCCGGCGTTCCACTGCAGCAGGAGCAGCAACAGCAGCACAAGCAGCAACAGCAGCACAAGCAGCAACAGCAGCAACAAACAACACTTTACCCTCAACGCCGGCTCTGTCGCAGCAACAGTGCTGCGGCGAACTAGGGGCAGGAGGAGCAGCAGCAACAGCAACAGCAGCAGCAACAGCAGCAGCAGCTCCAGTTGCAGGAACCGAAGCAGCAACGAAGGCGGATCCAGCAGCAGCAGGACCAGCGTCAGGAGGAACAGCAGCAGCAGGACAAGGGGGAGCTCCTGGGAAAGGTGCATCATCATCATCATCATCATCAGCAGCAGCAGCAGCAGCAGCAGACGATTGGTGGTTAGTGCCTCAGCCCCGCGAGGACCCTCCTTTATCCGCAGCTGAGGTGGAGTTGCTGCTGCAGCAGCAGCAGCTTCCTGCTTGTCCATCTGTAGTGTACGATCGAAGTGCTTTTTGCTTCTATGCTCTTTGGAGGCTAAGGGATGGAGTATTTCAGCGCCGCAAATGTTTAATTGAGCCCTTGGGGGCGAGAGAGGCGCACCGTCAAGCCGTGCAAACCCTCATGAAGGTCCGCATACACCCTAAACCCTAAACCCTAAACCCTAAACCCTAAAATGCTTAGGAGAAACAATGGCGAGATCTGCCTACCGAACAGCTGAGCAGCAACCGCACAGCCATACGTAACATACAGCGTCCATAAGCGTGGGTCAACGGTTAAGGGTTTAGGGTTTAGGGTTTAGGGTTTAGGGTTTAGGGTTGTTTGCGAGCAGATAGGGAGACGGCCTCCAGGGGTGGTTTATGATAGCCGCAGCCAGAAATGGAGTGTCTGCGTTACGCGGCATAACGGCAGACACCGCGCGTCTTTTTCAGTAAAAAAATTCGGGTTCGAAGGCGCACATCAAAAGGCACTTGACTGGTCCGCAAACCCTAAACCCTAAACCCTAAACCCTAAGTTCTAAACCCTAAAGCACTTGACTTGTCGGCAAACCCTCAATTATAAACACTAAAGTGCTGGGCACGTACGCAAACCCTAAATTCTAAACTCTATACCCTAAAGCACTTGACTTGTCGGCAAACCCTAAACCCTGAAGCACTTGACTGATCCGCAAACGATAAATCTTAAAGCCCCCAAAGCCTAAGTCACACCTGACTGATCAGCAAACCCTAAACCCTAAACCCTAAGCCTCGTTTCCTGGGCCCACCTCAACCAAGAAACAAATCCAGTGCGGGAGCAATCACTGCTCTAGTTCGTGGTGTTTGTTAGGGTGTAGGGTTTAGGGTTTAGGGTTTAGGGTTTTGCTGGCTTCAGGTACGACGCGAAGCGAGTAGAGTTGGGGTTGCGGGAGGCTCCGGGGCAGACCGAGGTGGACATGCAGTTTGCAAATTTGCTGTCTTCTGACGAACTCCTTGCTGTTGCGCAGCATGCACCAGATGCTGCTCCTCCTGCAGGAGCTGCTGCTGCTGCTGCTGCTCCATCGGCTACTAACCACCAACAACCCCACAAAAAGAAACAGCAGCAGCAGCAACAACAGCAGCAGCAACAGCAGCAGCAGCAGAACGTGCAGCAGCAGAATCTGCAGCAGCAGAACCTTCAGCAGCAGAGCATGCAGCAGCAGAATCTTCAGCAGCAGAACATGCAGCAGCAGAACCTGCAGCAGCAGAACCTGCAGCAGCAGAACCTGCAGCAGCAGCAGCAAACTGAACAGCAACAGCTTCTTCCCTTTCATGACTACTCAACGCCTGTAGCTGTGTACACTCCAGACGTGGCATTCACTGTAGCTCCAAATGCAGAAGACCCTGCACGGCAGCAGCAGCTGCAGCTGCTGCTGCAGCAGCAGCAGCTTATGATGCAAATGCAGCACCAGCAGCAGCAACAGCAGCAGCCCCAGCCTCAGCAGCACAAGCCGCAACAGCAGCAGCAACGCTCTGCGGAGCCCGCAGCAACAACTGGCAGCAAGCCACGGGCTCCCAAACGATCTAAAGTAGCATCGGGGGGCCCTGAAATGAAACGGCGGGGTGAACCGAAACATAAACAGTTGCCGGCAGCAGCAGCAGCAGCAGCAGCAGCAACAGCAGCAACAACAGCAGCAGAAGCAACTGCAGCTGCACCACCAACTGCAGCGCCAGCAGCAAATCCTGCAGTAAGAGAATTACCGCGTGCTACACTTCAACAGCTTATGCAGCCGTTTGGAGCTAGCACGCAGCAGCAGCAGCAGCAGCACCAGATGCAGCAGATGCATCAAATGCCGCAGCAGGTGCAGCAGCAGCAGCAAAGACACAGTTTCTGTTCCGTTGGCATATCGGGGGAGCAGCACGCAACGCACAGCACTTAGGCGTGCTTTCTCTGGGGGCGGGGGGGTTTGAGTCTTTTGCTGTTCTTTCCTTGTAGAATGGCATCCCCTAAACCCTAAACCCTAATGCGTGGGGCGTTAAGCCTAAACCCTAACTTTGCAGCAGCAAACGCAGTCGGTTGCCATTATACTGCAGCCTGCTTTGTCTTTTTGTTCGCTGTTCAAGGCGGCAGCAGATGCAGTGTGTATATATATATATATATTTACATATATATGTATATCCTCTCAGGCCTCACAAGCAGCTGGCGCCATATATATATATATATATATATATATATATATATATATGTGCACAGTTGTAATGCTTGAGAGTTTCTCTTGTGTGCATTTTTCCTCTTTGTTCATCTGCCACCTGCAGCCTACGATGAGAGGCTGCTTCTCCTTTAAATGAAGAAGAGCGCACACGAATTCTTCGTCTCATTTCATTTTGGTGCAGATCCTGGGGTGCCGTCCGGCTGCTGCCGCTGCTGTTGCTGCTGCTGTTGTTACTGCTGTTGTTGCTGTTGCTGTTGTTGCTGCTGGTGCTGTTGCTGCTGCTGCATAATTCGTGCATAAGGCAGCTGCAAGGCCGATGATAGAGGAAAACAATATAAAAGGATAAACAGCGAAGCAGAACTGAGAAAGAAAGAAAGCACTTGTAATGACAGGCGTATAACACCAACAGGAAGGTTGAGGCCCGCTGAGGCTAAATGTACCTTCTGCTGCTGCTGCTACTGCTTCTGCTGCTAGTGCTTCTGCTGCTGCTGCTGTTTCCCGTTCTGCAGAGGCCGTCTCTGGTCTGCGCAGTTGTAACGCCTGCCTCTTTTGCTAACCTTTTCAACTAACAAGTAGCAGCAACAGCAATAGCAGTAGCAAAAAGGGGAATGGGGGCACTTGATAGACACTGTTCACAGGAAGAGCAGCAGCAGCAGCACCAACAGCAGCAGCAGAAACAATAGGGGCATACACCCACTGCTCACGGGAAAAGCAGCATCAACAGCAGCAGCAACAACAGCATCGACAGGTCCTGAGGCCTGCATGTTGCACTTCAGCAATTAAATAAAACGAATCAAATTTTTTGTTTTTAAACAAAGGCTTCTCTATATAAAATAACACAGGGGAGCATGTTGCCCCTTAAAAGAAAGCGATAGAAACAAGCGAAGAGGGAAGCAGCATTAAAAAGACACAAAGACAGAAAAAGATAGCGCTGCGCTGCGCTGGTGATGCTGCTGCTTCAGACAGTTTTTTTAAAGGGAGTATTTTCACTGCCTCCTCTATTGCTGCTGCTCCTGCTGCTATTGTTGCTGCTGCTGCTCCTGACGTGTACCGTCATGTGCACCAGCAGATTAGAATTACTCTGAGCCGTTTTCTTCTTCTTCTGGGCTCTCCCCTTCTTCTTCTTTATCGCCTGACTCTGCCTGCTGCTGTTCTGTTGCACTTTCTTTCTCCGACTCCTCGCTGCTGTCTGCTGTTTCTTCTGGGCCTTCCCCAGCAGCAGCAGCACTAGCTTCTTTCTCTTCTCCTGCTGCTGCCTTTGTCTCTTTTTCTTCAGAAGATGATGCGCCTTCCCCTTCACCAGCAGCCTCCGGTTCTGTCGCTGATGCTGCTGGTTCTGCTGCTGACTCACCGGCTGCTGCAGCTGGCGCCGCCGCTGATGCTGCTGGTTCTGCTGCTGACTCACCGGCTGCTGCAGCTGGCCCCGCCGCTGCTGCTGCTGGTTCTGCTGCTGACTCGCCGGCTGCTGCTGCTGGCTGTGCTGCCGATTCTGTTGCTGCTGCTGCTGATTCTGCTGCTGATTCTGCTGATCCTGCCTCTGGCTCTGCTGCTGATTCTGCTGATCCTGCTTCTGGTTCTGCTGCTGATTCTGCTGCAGCTTCCGTAGGGGCTGTTCGGCTCTCGCCTTCTCCTGTGGGCTCCTTAGGGGCTGCTGAAGGAGGGCTGGGCTTTGCTTCTGCTGCTGGTGCTGCTGCTGGCGCTGTTTCTGCTGCTGGCTTTTCTGCTGCTGGTTCTTCCGCTGCAGCTGTCGGCACATTTACTGCCACTTCAGTTTCTTTGGATGGTTTTGCTGGTGCTTCCGTTGTTGTTGCTGTTGCTGTTGCTGTGGCTGCTTCTGCTGGTTCTTCTTTTGCATGGACCTCTTCAGTCTTCTGCTCCGGCTGCTGTTGCTGTTCTGTTGGCTGCTGCTGCAGCTGTAGCTTACCCTTGTCAATGATAGGCATTGCCGTATCATCGACAGGGAGGAGGATCTCCTCTTCTGCAGCAGCAACAAGAGCAGCAGCAGCAGCAGAGGGTGTGGCTGCCTTTTCATGTATTTTTCTTCTTTTGCTCAGGAAGTCTGAGAGATCTTTTCGGCTGATTCTCTGCAGAGTAGAAGGCGGTTTCGAGGTGGGTGGTGGTGCTTTTTCTGCTGGTGTTGTTGGTGCTGCTGCTTTTTCTGCTGCAGATTCTGCTGCTGCAGCAGCAGCAAGCTGATGCTGGGCCAGCTGGCTGCAGCTCTTGACGCAGCTGGTTTTAACTAACACCTCTCCCGGCTGCTGCAGCTCATGAGGCAAATCGCATGAGCCTCCATGTTGGCTGGGAACGAATTTTCTGTATGTTTCGATTGTCTTGAAGGCACCCGGGAGGCACTGCATGCAGTCTTTGGGGTCCTTCGGTCTGTATGCAAATTTGCATCTCCTCGGCAGCAACAGCTGCGTGCGTAGGTGGCATTTAAACACTTCAGGGTCGTTAGGAAATTTGCTGCGGGTCAGCCACAAATAAAAATTCCCCGCATCTTCCATCGCCTCTCGAGACCCCAGCAACACAGGCAATGCAAACCACTGAGGCCGCCTGCTGCTAACCCCTCCACCCCTGCTGCTGCTGCCGGGGGAAGTGTGGGGCCCCACGGTGGCCTCAGATATTTTCCTCTCCACCTCAGCTGCAGGTTCTATAACAGCAGACAGCCGAAGGATCGCCGCCTCCGAGTTCGCGTAATGGCGAGATGGAATGACTGTGCAGGAGGAGACAGGCCCAAAGGATGTTGCAATATCTTCGCAGGTGCCAAGCCGCTCTTTGTTAGACAGAAGCTGCTCGGGAGACGCAGCAGCCCCAGCAGGCAGAGGAGGGTGGGCCTTGGCTGCTGCTGCTGGGGGTAACACTGGAGACAGAGGCGACACTTTTAACTTCTGGTGGTGCTGTTGTTCTTGCTGCTGCTGCTGGAGCTGGCCACCTGCTGCTGCTGCGGGGGACTGAACTATTTTGACCCCCCGAGGCGCTGTGACTTCTGCGCTATCTGCCTCAGTGGTTGGCAGGAAGAAAAACCAAGCTCTGGTGGCCCTCCCGAATATGGGGTTTTCGATATAGACGGAGCAGTCTTCGCACGCCTCAGTGTTGCAGGGGCGAGTGGAAACAAGGGGTTCTTTGTCTGCTCGGCAGGGTATTTGAAAGCTATCCGGAAACTGCTGCTCTCCTATCCAGCGCGGGATGCCGTTCGCCACTTGCACGATGGAAGTGATGCGGCCGAAACCCCCACAAGGGAATGGGCAGGCGCCCCAGGGGAAAGCGTCTGGAATGGTGCGGGTGTTAGTCTCATCTACACGGCAGCCCAGCATCTCAGGACAAGGATGTTGAAATTTCTCTGCACAAGGAGATAAGCTAACGACTGCTTGCATCCTCTCACTCCATCCGACGCCTAAGTCCGCGTCCCAAGGATGCATTTCTGCACAAGAGCTGCCGAAACCCCTCCTCTCCAACAAAACCTTGCGGATTCGAATTTTGAATGCGTCTTTTTCTGTAGCCTGACAGCTCTTGGTGCAGTCGGCCAGCGTTTCCCATTCGCCTAATTGGCAATTTAAACTGCATTCTTGAACTTGGCACCGTCTTTTCATGAACGCGCCGCCACAGGCCTCCTCGCTTTCCCCTGAATAAAGACTGCGGCTCCAGATCTCGAAACCCCCACCGCAAGTTGTACTGCAAGGCGTTTCCTGCCGCCATTCTCCCCAAATGCAGCCGCGTTTGCTGATAAGTTTCCGGTTTTCCCAATGTTTCGTTATGGCGTGGCCGCCGGTGAAGCGGAAAGTTGCGAACCACCAGTTCGCCGGCTGCTCCACGGAAAGGGATTCCTTAGGTGTATGCACAGAAATGCGAAACGAATGACGACCTAAAGGTAGACTTTTGGTGGTATCTGCACTGGAAATCGTCACAAAAGTACTCAGACTCCCAGGTCTGTTTTTCATATACGCCTTTCTTGTTGAACACTTCAAAAGTGGTACAGAAGAATCCAACGAGTCGCATATCGACTCGCCTTCCTTTGCAACATACTTGGGGGGAAGAGCCACCACAACGAAAGCAATTTGCTTGCTTTCCATTGTCTGCAGAGGAAAGTTGTACAAAACTGTGACGAGAGAATCCGAGTCAAGTGCGTTTTCATCTTCGATTACCTGAAAATCTCCTGCGCTCTTGGCCAGCAGATTTGCTGTCACTCCTCCTTCCTTGAAACCTGCATGTGCAGTTTCTGCCGGTTTCTTCTCTGTTTCCCGAGCCTCTTGAGGCCAATCTTTCGCCGAGCGATCTGATAATGATCCTGCATGCACTGGTTGCTCGACTCCTTCTGTTGCTTCACTCGCGGACAGCTGCAACGCAGAATGCAAGCCAGGGGGTTCGTCCTCGAAGATAAGGCGAGAACGCGCGGCGTGCGGGGCCCTCCAGGGCGTTGCTGCTGAAGCTTCAGCTTCATCATGAAGCGCAGCAGCAGCAGGCTCGAGCTGAATATTCATCCATCCCTTGTCTGCATCTTCATGTCTGGCGATGCGTTCAAGTTTTTCTAAAACCCCTGCATACCACTCCGCGGACTCGCCGTGGTGTTCTCCAGAAGACCCGCTTTCCCTCGTGCCATCGACAGACGACTCGAAATCAGAATCCACCAGACCGAGACTGCGTGCGAGTTCTTCTTTCGCCTGACTATGAGCAGCCTCTTGATCTGAAAAGGCGAACGGGTCTATGCTGAATTGGTGCTGCTGCAGGTCCTGCTGCCGCCTTGTGGCGGGGAGGAAGTGGCCCAGGGAAGCCGAGGGGGAGACTATTGAAATAGAGCAAATTAAAAACAGAGAAAACTGCATATTTGCAGCAAATGAGCAGCACGAAGGAGAAAATCTCATCTTGATCTTCCTAGCGGGCGGCGCCGAGATTTGTTTGCTTCGGAGAAAGGAGGGACCTCTGGTGCATTCCCCCTAAAGTGCAAAATCCATTTCACAGTTTTCACAACAGGTATTGTAACTCATAAAATAAAAAGAATAGTTCTTTGCGATGGAGCAGCTGAGGCCGAGCAGCAGGCCAAGAGTTCTCGTTCAGGTTGTGCCGCGAGGCGTCACATTGCCGCTGTCTGTTGTCGCTGCGTGATCTCTCTGGCTGTAGTTGTTTTTAAATTGCAGAAGTTGTTTACTTTAATATTTAGAAGTAATGCAAAATGCTCAGAGAATCGACGCTGGATTCCAACAGAGTCGAGCCGCCGGTGCGTATGGTGGCTGAGGCTCGCCGAGACCAACTTACGGAGCTCAGCAGCAGAGACCGTAAGGAAAGAGAAAGCGAGACAAGTTTTAAAACAACTCAGATGCATTTATATTTGATTAATTCAGAAGAATCTGTTCAAGAAGGCATTTCTTACTCCTTCTCCCTCGCAGCTTTCGCTGCTGCGGCCCGACAGTAGCAGAATCAGACCACCGCGAGGCGCTGCCGACCATACGTCAACAGCAGCAGTTGCAGATTAAACAAAAGAACATATCGTTAGATATAATATCTTTAAAATGCATTTTATATCTAATTATATAATTCAACAAAATTATTTTCATAACTTCTACACGACATGTATTCAGGTGTATTTCCTTCCTCCCCTCTTCACTCACCATTTGCTGATGGGGCCCTCGCCGCGCCGGCAGACGACCCTGTGAGAGGATGCTGCATGCAGCTGCTGAGTATCTCTCTGTTGTATTTTGCAAATTGAATTATACATTTGACTGCAACTGCAGAGCCGTACATGCAACGGAGCTGAGGGAAGGGGAGAGCGATCGTTGCTTCCTCCGTGCGTCTTTTTCTGCCCATTTCCTCCACTGCAGACCGCAGCAGTGGCAGCGGCAGCAGCAGCAGCAGCATCTAGACGTGTTTTTCTGTAAGTATGATTCTTTCTGCAGAATAGTACAGTGCATACAGGTTGGAGGACACCAACACCACGCTGCTGGACCCCTCCGCAGGTCCTGAGGAAGTTCTTGTGTCTTTGCAGCATCTCGTCTGCTTGAGGTCTGGGGATGCTCAGCTCCTTAGACAAAGCAGAAATCAGACGCCGTGTTTCTGCTTCCTTTCAGCCTCAGTAGATAGCTTTCAGCACGCAGTTCTGTCCTAGCAATAGCCCCAGCAGCAGCCGCAGCAGTAGCTGCAGCAACTGCTGCAGCAGCAGCTGCAGCAGCAGCAGCTGGCGGCATGAGGGGCGCATCTCTTTCCCCCTGTGCGCCTCGCGTCTCTTTATCTTGGTTTCAAGTAGCACAGGGCCGCTGGTACCGTCGGCTGTGTTTGATTTTTATTGTGTCTGTTGTTCTCTTTGGTTTTGCCGCCTTTGTTTCTGTTGTTTGGTCGCTTCTCGGCTCTCTTATCCTCAGCACAGGAATATGTGCAGGCATCCTCCTGTTCTCCTTCTATTACCTCACTGTTGCGCTGACCTTCCCAGGCTGCAACCGGTTCTTCCAATGGTACATGCAGCAGCAGCTAGCAGCAGAAGCAGCGGAAGAGCTGCTGCAGCGGCTGCGCCCACTCGAACTCTTCTTGCTGCATCTTCTTTCTGCCCCCGTACATAACCTTTCCGAAGACCAAAAGGAGGCAGTCATTCTGTCAGCGCCTCCCTCTTGTCTCCATCATTCCCTCTACAGCAACAACAGCAGGAGCAGAAGTAGCAGTAGCAGCAGCAACAGCAGTAGCAACACCAGCACCAACACCAGCGGTAGCACCAACAGCAGCAGCACTGGCAGCGGTAGCACGCCATTCCCCCTGTTAAGCTCTGTAGAGGAAGTGCAGCAGGGTTCTTTGTTTGCTGCTGGCGATGCTGTTGTCAAAGAGACAATTGCAGATTGCTGCTTTCTGGTGTCTGCGCACCTTCGCGCCTTCCAGTCCCTTCACCTAAAAGCAGACAGCTTGCTGCTGCTGCAAGAACCAGAAGCCGCAGCAACAGCACGTGCAGAGGGCACCGAAGCAACAGAAGCAGCAACAGCGGCAGCAGCAGGGGCTGCAGCAGCAGCCGATAAAGACCTGCCGGGATGGTACCAGCAGCAGCTAGGGAGGAGCACTCTGTCTTGGTTAGAGGAAGCCCTCGCCTTTTCTTGCGGCTCTCTCCTTTCGCATCTCCTCAGCGTCTCCCTCACTCCAGCAACGCCCTCACCATCCTCACATGCTGCTGCTGCTGCTGCTGGTATTGGAACAGCTAAGGGCGGTAGCTACCCTCTGGGGGCCGTACTAGATCTGCCGCTTCCTGCTGCTGCAGCAGGTGGGGAAGCACCACCAGCAGCAGCAACAATACGCAGCAGCAGCAACAACAGCTCGAATGATGGATTGTGGGGTGCCCGCATGCAAGAGGAGAGGCTGCCACTTGCGGCGTTCCAGCTTGCGACGTCGGCGGATGTCTTGGCCTGCGCTGCTGCGCTGCAGCAGCTGCATGCAGTGGCGCTGCTGCTGCTGCCATTCCAGGGGAGCCATGCGCAGCAGCAGCAGCAGCAACGACACGATGGGCCGCAGCTTCTAACGAAGCCGTCTTTTGTCGTGCGTATGGTGCTGTTGCTCTTTAGCTGCATCGTCCGCCCGCCGCTGGGATCGCTGCCGCTGCTGCAGCAGCAAGCAGCAAATGTTTCGGGCTTGCAAGGAGACGCAGTAGGCGTAGAGGTGTGGCTTCCAGTGCAGCAGCACAGGCGAAGAGCACATTTTGCTGCTGCGCTGATCAAAACCTTTTCTGCTGCGAAGACCCTTGCGGCGCGCTGCTTGAACTGGTGCCCCAGCCGCAGCAGCAGCAGAATTAGAAGCAGCAGCAGAATCTTCACCTTGCAGCAGCAACACTCTGCTTTGCTTCAGCATCCTGCTGCTGCCAGCCCACCTACCTTAGAGCCTGCTCCTGTCGCTACTGCGGCACCTGCAGCTGCTGCTTGCGCCGGGAGGTGCACACGAGCAAAGGCAGCAGCAGCAGTACTCCGCTTGCTGCAGCCGCTCTTGAGGCTGGTGCGCCCCCCTCCCCCAAAGACAGTGTACATACAGTGTATGTTCATCCCTGCCGCTGGAAGTCACTGGCTGCTGCCCGCTAGCTGCAGCTGCAGTGCAGCAGCAGCAGCAGCTGCTGCTGATTTGTTGCCGCATGATTTTTCCTTCCCTCCTAGCCGGTGCCGCCAATGCTCACTCACTACCGCATGTTTGTCTACAGGCGGAACAGTGCAGCAGCAGCAGAAGCAGCAGCAGCAGCAGCAGCAGATACTACTTGCAAGCGGTAAGCGCTGTGCTGCAAAGCATGCCTTGCTGACTGAGGGATTTTTATGCCGCCTTGCTGCTGAGGTTTCGAGACTCCAGTCTGCAGCATTTTCTCTCTTTCTGTGTCTGGCGAAGCAGCAGCTTGCTGCTGCTGCGTCTGCTGCTGCTGCTGCCGCACGGCTGCAGTCGGGCAGCAGGACGAGCGACTTTGCGCGTCGCCTTATGGTGACCAACACGCCATCGCAGCAGCAACTACAGCAGCAACAACTGCTGCTGCTGCAGCAGCAAGCCCACAAGGCGTTTGCGGCTGCTGCTCTTTTCAACTTCAGCGTCGCTCTTGTTGTTGCTGCAGCAGACGCCACACGACGGGCAGTCCTCAGGTGCTTTGCGCGTCTGCGGAAGTTTTTCCTCTCCCGTCCGTTGCAGCAACAGCAGCAGCAACAGCAGCACAACATTCGCAGCAGCAGGGGGACAGGAGCAGCAGACACTGCAGACGGAAGTACTAGCTCCCCTTTTCGCTTCGTCTGTGGCTGCCAGATCCCGCACTGCGCCGCTGGCGACAGCCCAGGTGGAGCAGCAGCAGTAGAAGCTGCAGCAGCATGCGCAGCACCAGCAGCAACAACAAATGATGCAGCAACGGTAACAAGTGCAAGAGGTATTGGCGGAGATGTGGTGTTGATGTTTAATCCGAATGCCGGCGCCTTTGAAATGTCTCTAGCAGCACAAGACCCTGAGCTAAGGTGTTATCTCAACAGGTGGGTCTGTTGTCTCTTTTTCTTTTTTTATCTCTCGCTCGCTTACTGTCTCTGTCTCTCCTTTTGTTTCTGTTTCTCTCTCTGCCTCTCTCTCTCTCTTTCTGGCTGTGTCTGTACGCCTCTACTTCTGTCTCCGTTTGTCCCTCTGTCTCTGTCTCCGTGTGTCTATATTACTCCTCCTCTGTCTCACTTACTCCTTCTGTCTCTGTCTCTATATGTCTCTACTTGTGTGTCTGCCTCCGCTGCCTTTGTGTTTCCTTTGTCATTAACAGCCTACAGCGATTTGTTTTACGCCTCTTGTTTTTTTATTCTTTTCCCTTCGTCTTTTTGCTATTATTTATTTTTTTCTTCTTTTTATTAAAGACGTCTTTGGTGAGACATTTGCTCCGCTGTGCGCAGGGGGTTGAGCGTGCTTCTTTCGAATTACCGCGGGTCTTCTTCTTCTGCTGGTTTCCCCTCGCTGCCGAACATATTAAGAGACAGCGTTGATTTATATCGTTTTGCTGCTTCTCTTCCAGGTTAGTATGGGGCGTTGCTTTCTTTGTCTCTTTCTGTGTTTGTCTCCTTTTTCTTTGTCTCGCTTTCTGTCTTATTCTCTCTTCGTTTTCTGTCTCTGAATTACTCTCTGCCTCGGTCTCTCCTTTGTCTGTCTCTCTCCGTGTCTGTGTCTGTCTCTGTCTCTTTTTTGTGTTGCATGCCTGTCTCTGTCTGTTTCTGTTTCTTTCTGTCTATCAGCCTCTTCTGTTGCCTCCGTTCGTCTCTATCTTTCTTTGTGTCTGGCTCTCTGTCTCTGGGTCTCTGTTTCCTTCTGCCTCTCTCTTTGCATCTGCCTGTCTCCCTCTTTTTCCTACCCGAAGCGACCGCAGCAGGCGTATGAGCAACAGCAGCAGCAGCACTAAGTTGTTGCTGAATTGCTTTGGTTTTGTGGTGTCTGTAGGTGTTCGGTGCATTGCCCTTCACGGCCGGTCTATTGGCGGTCTGCCTGCTGCTTACGCGGCTTGTCTCTCTCAATCCCTGCAGCAGCAGCAGCAGCAGCAGCAGCAGCTTTCACTAGCTGCTGCTGCTGCTGCTGCTCCCCCAGGCTGCTGCTACCCCTCCATGTTCCCATGCGAAATTAGCAGCAGCAGCAGCAGCAGCAGCATGACGACATGCAGCATGGCGCGCAGAAACAACTGCAGCAGCACTCACTGCAAAAGAAGCAGCAGCAGCTGTGCGCCTGTGGCTCTGTTGTGCATTGATAGAAGCTTCTCTTCTCTCGAAGCAGCAGCAGCTTCCTTATTCGGCTGGTGGGCGGCAGCGGCTGTCCGGGGGGCAACGGCTATGTCTGCACTATGCTTGCCGGCTTGTTGCAGCAGCTGCAGCAGCGCCTGTTGCAGCTGCTGCTGCAGTAACAGGAGCAGCTGCTGCTGCAGCTTTCAGCTGGGGAGGAACTCCCCGCAGAACGGATCTTGCTTGCAGTCTGGCGAGCTGCTCATGCTGGAGGAGGGCGCTGGCCCCACCAGCAGCAGCAGCAGCAGCGACAACAACAACAGCAGCAGCAGCAGGGAAAGCAGCACGACGCTTGCACTATCGCCTGAAGTGACAGCATTTTGCTCAGCTGGGTCAGCAGCGGCAACAGGAAATGCCGCCCCGGCAGCAGCAGCAGCAGCAACAGCAGCAGCAACAGCAGCAGCAGCAGCAGAGTGCTTAAAATGGGCTTCTTCAGCAGCAGCCTTTCGTGCTGTGAAGTGCAGTAAAGTAGTTGTCTATACACCCCACGATGAAATAATAGGAGATGCGGCCTCGCTAAAGACAGCTATGGCGCGCCAAACAAATTCCCTAGCTTTTCAAATGCTAATGGAGGACTTGCTGCTGCTGCAGCAGCAGCAACAGCAGCAGCAGCAGCAAGGCCGCTCCGTTGGTGGTAGGAGCAGATGGGGTTGGGCAGCAAACACAAAGAAAGCATCTGCTGCGGCAGCTCTGTCTCTCGAGGCAACCCTCCAGCTTGTTGTGAGTTTGTTTGTGATTTGCATATTTCCTTCTGCTGATTAATAATCTTTTCTGCTTTTTACTTTGCTTGTCTCCGTCTGCACTTCGGTATCTCTCTGTCTCTGGTGACAGAATGAGCAGCAGCAAGAGCAGCAGCAAGAGCAGCAGCAGGCCTTAAGGCCTGTATATATACCCTGTCTCTACGTTGTTTCTTTCTTTGTCTCTTTTGTCTCCTTTTGCTGTGTCTTTGCTTCTCTTTTTGTTTCTCTGTTTGTCATTATTTTCTTTTTCAATGCATCTTCTGGGCCTTTTCTGTCTTCTCTCCTTATTCTTTTTATTTTTATTTATACTTTTTTGGTTTTCCGTCATTCAACTTCACTTAGAAGCTGCACCGCAACCCGTCTGCACTTCCTCCTTTCTTGCTGTCTTCTGTCTCTTGTCTTTTGTCTCTTGTTTCTTGCCTATGTTTTGCTGCATCCTGTCTTCTGAATTATGTCTTCTGTCTGTTGTTGTCCTTCTCCTCAGAAACAGCGCGGGGTTCCCTTGCGCAAGCACCAACAGGAGGAGCAGCAGCAACAGCAGCAGCAGCAGCAACTGCAGCAGCAGCAACAGGAGCAGCAGCAGCAGCAGCAGCAGCAGCTGGGGCTGGTACCCAGTGCAGGAGGCGCAGCCGCATGTTTTAGTGGCAATCTCTCTGCTGTAGACGCGCTGCAAATGGCACGTTTTTGTTTCTTTTCCCTTTGTTGATTCTTCCTTTATTCTTTCGCTTTGGTGCTGCATGCATTTCGTTGTCTCTTTGCCTCATTTTCTATTCGTCGCTGTCTCTGTCTCCGTTTTTCTGTCTCTGCTTCTCTCTATCCCCGTTGCTGTCTGTCTGTCTCCTCGGCTCTGTCTCCCATTCTCCGCCTTCATGTTTCCATATATATATATATATTTATTTATTGTATATAAGCATATTTGTTTCTATATGTACGTACATATGCAAGTAAATGTGTGTGTGTATATATATATATATATATATATATATATATATGCGTGTCTTTTCCTGTTCGTTAGTGTTGAGGTGTCTGCATCTGTCTCTCTTTGCTTTATGCACATTTTAACAAATATTTCTGTTTGCGTTTGCCCGTGCGTATCTGTTTTTCCTGTCTTTGTTTGCCGTGCGCCTGTCTCCATTAGACGACGTGTGGCTGTTTGCTGCGGTGTCTCTGCTGCAGAGTTATCTCTGCTCAGTTGCAGCAGCATGGCGGTTCCTTGGTGAGTTTCTCCTTCTTGCTGCTGCTGCTGAGGAGAGGGCTTTGAGGCCAAACGCTCTTAAAATGCTTCCGGATTATCCCCTGCTCTATGAGGTAACCCGCCTTTGCTGCTGCTGCTGCTGCTGCTTTTGCTGCTGTTGCTTCTGATGTTGAAGATGATGATAATAACGCTTGGTGGTTTTGCTACTGGTTTTAAGGGCGATATTTTGCTGCTGTGTCTGCCCTACTTAAAACAGATGTTCCAAGCAGCAGCAGCTGCTGCAGCAGCAGCAGATGCCCTTTCGCTCAACTCTCACCAAGGGCAACAAGAGCAGCAGCAGCAGCAGCAGCAGCAGCAGCAAATTTTGAATGTTTTCAATAGGACTTTCCGAAGGGCATCCAATTTGCTGAGACCCTCTCCGCCTCCAGAAGAAGGGGAGGCTTTAACTCTTGCCGCTCGGCAGGACTCTCAGATAGAGCTTGTCGCTAGCTGCACCAGCAGCACCCGCAGCACCAGCAGCAGCAGCAGCAACAGCAACAACGGCAGCGAAGGCAGGAGAGTTGATGCCACTTTTGAGCGTTGCAGAATTACTTCGTTAGCTCCTTCTATGCGGGAGCAGCTGCTTGCTGCTGTCGGTCGCCGCTGCAGACGCCGTAGCAGCCGCAGCAGCAGCAGCGCACTGACAGGAGCTGAAATACACAGACTGCTGCTTTCCTGGCTTTCCCCTCTACAGAAGGAACTTTTGGAAGTTGCAGGACTACTCGGGGGGCTGCTGAATGCTGCCGGAAGTCTGCTTGGGTCTTCGCTGCAGCGAGCTGCTGCTGCCGCTGCAGCAACGGCGCCAGTTCCTGCCTTAGCACCAGCAGCAGCAGCAGCAGCAGCGCCCATTAAGGACTTCTGCTGCAGCCTATACCTTTGGGGGAGTGTACCGACCGCGCCTCTCCTCTCGTTTGTGGCATCCATAACAGCAGAAGCAACAGCTGGAATGCTGCAGCAGCAGCAGCCACAGCAACAATTACTGCAGCAGCAAGTACTCTACCAAGATGAGCAGCAGGCAGTGCAGCAGGTGCTGAAGCCTTCCGTGTGGAGTCAGCTACTCCCTTTCTTGAGAGAGGAGATTCTAAGAGACTTGCTGTTATTATCACTCTTTAAGGCCAAGGTGTTACAGCGGCAAGTCGAGCAGCAGCAGCAACGGGTTCGGCTGCTGCAGCAGGAGCAGCAGCAGCAGCTGTTGCTGCAGCTCTTTGTCGCTGCTGTGCAGAGAGCGGAACCTCTTCAGCACGTCTCTTCAACAACGTGGGTTTCTTCTGCTGCTGCAGCAGTGCAGCAGCTGCTTCATCTCATACATCAGCAGCAGCAGCTCCTGCAGCTCCTAGGCTCCGCTTCCTTGACGAAGCCCGAGCAGAACAGCAGCAGCACCACCAGCACCAGCAAGCGACGCCACCGCATGTCCCGAAGTGAAGTGCATCTCCTAGGAGCCTTCTGCGCTGAATTTGGCGGCGTCACACCACAGATGCTTCTGCAGCAGCAGGAGCAGCAGCAGCAAGAGCAGTCACAGCAGCAAGAGCAGCAGCAGCAAGAGCAGTCACAGCAGCAAGAGCAGCAGCAGCAAGAGCAGCAGCAGCAAGAGCAGCAGCAGCAGCAGCATCCTCTGGGACTTTACATCCGCTGTTGGATGAGGTAAGTGACAGAGGCAGCAGCGAACTGAAGTGCATCAGATGCCTAGTCAACTGTAACAGTAACAGAAGTAGCAGCAGCAACTGCCGCAGCTGCAGCAGCAGCAACTGCTGCAGATGCGGCGGCAGCAGCAGCACTTCGACTGATGCTCTGAGCTCTCTATTGCTGCTTTGCAGGCTTCTTGGGTGTTTATCGGCTTTCCTGCTACAGCATCGCGTCGCTGCAGCAGCAGCGGCAACAGCAGCAAAGGTTGAAGCAACTCTGCAGCAACAGCAGGTGCCTAGATACTTAGCAGCAGCCGGAGCGTTTGCTCAAGACAGAGAAAGAAGCAGCAGCACCAGCAGCAACAGCAGGACCAGCAGCAGCAACAGCAACGGGGACTCGTAGCTGTGTTGTGCTGCCCTTCAGGCTTCTTCTTCAGTCGTGGCTGAGTGCCCAGGGGATTGTCTGAGGCTGCGCGGCACATGCAAACGCTTGAACGCTTGCCAGAGGCACTGCTTAGCAGAGGTGCTGCAGCATCTGCAGCAGCTGAAGAGCTTCAGCGACGTCATTGCCGGGTTGGTGCTGAGAGTTTAGAGCTTAGGGTTTAGGGTCTGGGGCCGAGCGTTTAGGGGCGAAGGCCTATTGAGCAAAGCTTATGGATTAGGGTATAGCGTTTAGTTCCTTTGACCTGCGGTCGGAGGCCTGCAGAAGCGTGGAGTTTAGGTTTCACGGGTTTTGAGTTTAGGGTTTAGGGTTTAGGGTTTGGGGTTGTGCATGCTTTTCAGGGTTTACTTTTGCTTTGAAGCTCCAAATGCGAAGCCACCTGGGCCTACGAGCTTCCTGTCAGGGGCTTTCCAACATGAGTAATCTCTAAGCCCTAAACACTAAACCCTAAGCCTGTTCTTTGGCTGCATTTGTCACTGCCCGCTATTCGGTTTGTTCTGCGCACCTCATTTTGTGCCTGGAGTCGGCGCTCGACGAATTAGGGTTTAGGGTTTGGGGTCTAGGGTTTAGGAGAGACGATTTCAAGCTGAATTTGTGCTGCAGGCAGCTGTGCGGCGATCTGCTGCCTTCTTTCGTGGGACACAATGCCAATCTCAAGAATGAGGAGTTGCAGCTGCTCGACCTATACCTTTCTCTGGCTGGATTAGGGTTTGGGGTTTAGGGTTTAGAGCTGGCGCGTATTGTTTTAATGGATGGTCTCCAGTTGAGAGTCTTAAGACTTCTCGCTTGAACTGTCTCCGTCTACAGCGTCCCTTACTCTTTCTCTTGTGAACTGAGACAGGCAGACGGAGAGACAAAGGCAGCAGGGTCTCTCAGAGTGCCGCTGCTTCTGTCTCTCTCTCTCTCCCTTCTTCTATCTCTTCCGTCAGTGTGTCTTTCTGTGTATTTATCTCTTTCCTGTCGCCTTTGAGTCTCCTGCTCTTTTGCGTGCATCTTTCCCCCTCTGTATTGTGCTGTGCTTGTCCCTGTCTTTCTCTCTGCCACTTTTTGTCTTGAGGCTTCTTCGTTGCTTTTGTTTGTCTCCGTCTACTTCGGTTTTTTCTTCTTTTCTCTGTCTTTGTCTCCTTTCAAGTTTGTATCTCCGTTTGCGTGCTTGGGCTGACTGATGCGTTTCTCCGTCTGAGTCTTCGTCTGCGTCTGTCCTCTCTTCCCATCTCTGTCTGTCTCCGTATCTTTGTCTCTTTTTCTATCTGTGCCTTTGCCTCTCACTGTCTCTCCTCTGCCTGTCTGTCTGTTTTTGAACTTCGTGTTTTCGTGCTTTCTTTGCTAGTTAGAGAGATAGGGCGTTTTCTTGAGGTGTATGGGAAGGCCTTGGAAGTCGTTCTTCAAATTGTTTTCTTTTTCCAAACTCTGAACGCTCTTCGTTGCATTTGAAGTACATCATCTTCCGCCAGTGGGGCTGTTGGTGCTGTTACAGCCGTTGCTGCGGCTACTGCAGATGCTGGTGCTATTGCCAATGCTGCTGATGCTGCTGCTGCAGCGGGGCAGCAGCCTGTCCGTAACACTCCAGCAATTGGTGCCGTAACGCATAACGACGCAGATGCCGCAGATAGGGCGGTCAGAGAGTCGCGACTAGCATATAAAGCAAAAGCAGCAGCAGCAGAAACAGCAAAAAATGTCCGCCAGCGCATTTATTGAATGAGCTGGGGATTGAATCGATGGTGGACATGGCTACTGCTGCTGCACCCGCTGCTGCTGCAGCTGTTTCCGTTGCCGAAGCCCCTGTTGTGATATGGCTACTGAATCTGTAAGTAAGGTGTTCTTGTAGTGGCGTGTTTCTTCTAACGATGACTCTGCTGAAGTTGCGATTTGTTCTTTCAAGACTGTCGCGCAGCAGCAGCTGTTGGTATTGGCCCCCCTTCCCTCCCCCGCCGTCCCCAAGAAACAGCAGCAGCGGCTTCTACTGTTGTATTTGCGCAGCGGCACAAGAAGTGACACTTGTGCTTCCAGAGTCTCGCTGCTGTGGCTGCTCATGTACCCAACGTGGTTGCTCTATTCGCGCTAGACAGCCAGCGCCAGGCTCTAGCGTGAGAACCCTCAGCAGCTCTGCAAGGGAACAGAACTCCACAGCCTACTGGCTCAAGAAGAGGTGGCCGTACAGCGCACGTACTGATGCGTAGTCACCAACGTACTCTTCATTACTGTGACGGCTACTGCTGGGCACAAACCCAAACAGGTTGAAAGTGCCACCCTGGTATGATGGCGGAGCTTTCTGTTATATGAGCAGCCAAGTCATTCTTGGGTGGAACTCAGTCTGGTTAGAAAAAGTGATAAATCTCTGCAAAGCCCAAACAAGTTTGTGTGGCTATCCTGCTCAAACAAAGTACAGTTCTGCTGCTGCAAACCGCGGAATCATGCTCCGTGCAGAGCAGAGTTCGATGAGCGCAGCGCCTCCGTCGTTGACTAACCCGTTTATTTCGTCTGTGATCTGCGTAAAGTCAGATCCCCCAAAAGTGCGTCTTTCACGTAGGTAACGGGTGTAGGCAACGTCAACACCTCACATTTCACAAGAGAAGTAAAGGCCACGTACATTGTGCGGCTCGGGAAGAATTTTTTTGTGTTGTTCCGGAGGATCTCCATTCATCAGTGGCGTAAAACTTCCCGCATGGAGATTTTTCGTTAAGCATATAGATCGGTCATACACTTTACGGTGGTTTGCAACCATCGGAGGCAGCACTCTCGCCGCTGGTGTTTGAAAGTGTACGCACTTTGTACGCTTTTCAACAGTACTGCGTTGTGTATTTCGCCTCTGTTGAAGCGATCATGCGGCCTCCTCTAGTTAGGACTTACTTTTCTTGCCTTTCCGCATATTTCCGTTGCAAGTGTTGGGATTCCAAAGTGTAAAGAATCGCCTTCACCAGCATGAGCTAGCATTAAGGCAGCCGTAAACCCCAGTGTGTGACACTACTACACTGATCTGGCTACGGGCAGTCAATTCCGATAATATGCCTTGTTTATCCCGTTATGCGATGTTCTAGATGAAATGGCGCCTCTCAAAAGCGTCTGTCCCAGGTCTTGGCGTTTTTGTGCTCCTCATGTTCCACTAGCTATCTCTGAATGCCTTTTACTGTGGAGATACCATGGGAGTTACTTTCTCTTTCTCTTTGTGTGCTCTACCTGCTTCGGTTCTACAGCTTTCACCTGCCTCTGCGGGACCTTGCCTTGGCCGAATACCTCACCACAGAGACGCAAATGCGTGCGATGAATTGAGCACTCATAACATTTACGTCGTCTCATATATGGCGATCTCACCACGTTAGGTGTACAGCCGTTTAGGCTTTCAAACAAGGCTAAAGGAACCTGCCTTCACAAATGCCTTGGTGCTGGTTCTACAGGCGATTGATTTGTTTGCACTGGGGGAGGCCTGCACGCTGCGGTGGTGCAGATACAAACCATAGAAAAGCTGTACAGATGGCACAGCGAGCCTACCAGCGAAAGATGCATGGAGGCTCTAAACGAATGAGTATCTTAGGTGCACGGAGTGGAGCTGCCAACGAACACAGTTGGAGGATTTTTGCTGTTTTCTCGTGCTGTTATTGGGCCAGCGCATGAAACTGCAGGGCGTGCTTAGGCTAGCTGACAGGTCTGCAGGCCGACGGTGCGCACTGTTCCCTGCAATCCCTCGGAAGTGCATGCATAAGGAGATCTTTCTGCAATTCCTAGACTTTCTCTAGTTTCAGGGGTCATCTGTTGTGCGCATTTGTTTCATCAGCATAGGTCAGTCCTTCTATTATGCTTAGCTTTCTTTTGGAAGACTATGAGACGAGGATGTGTTTTAGAGGCTGTGGGTTGTCCTTTTAGGCTAATCTAGGGAATATTCGCTGCCTGTAGCCATAGATATAGAGTTCGTGCATAAATAGGTGTGTATGGGGTAACGTGTGAACCGCCGTGACAGAGCTGCTCACTACAGATCCTAGCTTGCTTCTCTTGCTTTTCCCATGCCCGCATAGTAAGTACTTGGCGAATGTTTCAAAAGGTCTTTGACAGTGATTATGCTATCATTAAAATATAGTCAGTGTTAGTTTCATTTTGATGTGAAAAAACCAGCGTTGTCTGCTGTTGTTAAGAAGTTTTCACCATGCTGATTGTCGCCACTCGCTCTGAGAAGCCGGAGCAGTAGCACAAGAATCCCTGGCCCACGCGCACTGTTGCTGATGTATGATTAGTTGAGGTAAGCATGGTATTAGCTTAGTATTATCACTGGTATAATGCAGGCGTAGCTAGCCCTAGTAATTCCTATTTAGGTGGTTTCTGCACATCCTTCCCGTCTCCGCCGCTCACTTGCTTGTAACGCTTCCGATCTGCAGTTGACAATATTACCATGGACCTATTATTCCTTTATTCATAAGTTAAAATTTGAAAACGTGTTTTTGATTTTTCGAAAAGTTTGAGGGTCTCATCCTCACTTAGCGCACAGAGCGCAGTTTCGCGTTACTGTAGACCCTCTCACCCAGCGTGACAGTCGGCGCCCATTCCAGTTCCCCCAGCTACCAATGTAACTCAGCCTCTTGAACTTCAACGCCAAGGACTAATTAGAAAAACCTTGATAAATTACCATTATTAGTTTTTTTCCTCGTTGTTCTCCCCTCATTTCGGGCCAGCCATCGTGCCTGCCAGGACCGTCTCTCACCCCCGGCTGCCACCGGTTGCGATATGCTACCTTTATTCCCCGTCGAGTTGCAGAAATACTTACGTTTACACCACTGAAAGACTTCAATACTTATAGTTCATTCATCCCATCTTTATTTCAGCATCCCAGGATCCCTGCAGTTCCGAGCACTGTAACCTCGCCCTCGACGTGTTTGATCTGTGGTTCGGACTACCAGGAAACTCATCGTTCGCCGCTCCTTCCAGTGCGACCGTCTAGAACTTCAAAATGAATCGCCCTTTGACAATGATAT